CTTACAAGTTAATTAGATCTATCAAACCCTTAGTATATGAGAATATGCCTATTTGCTCAAACCAATGGCTACTAGCTTACAACACAACCAATGATTCAGGAATTGAACAGAAAATACCCAGACATACTAGTATATAGGGACAAAAGGTCCTAACAGAATGGAAATCAGCACCAAAGGTATGCTTCTACTGTAACCAGGCTGGTCATATTAAGAAGGAGTGTGCACAACACAAGGAAGCGATGGAGATCAAACATCATTATAGAAGCCTCAAAAAGGGTGAACAAAGAAATGAAGATACATTACACAGTACAACTATAAGCACAAACAACCCATATATCACCTCAGATAATAACAAAAAAAAGGATGACAATAATAGTAAAAAAGACCCAATAGATCAGTTGATAAGTGATAAGGAGAATTTAGATGAATTAATTGAGGCAGAAAATCATAAAGATATAGAGACACATGAAACTGGTGACTTGCTACCACCATTAGAAAACAGTTCAACAAATAATCTAGAAGTAAACAGTATGGAAGGGGTAAGTAAAGTGGCAAGTTTGAAGGACACAAAGATAAAAGCCACTACAAACACAAGGATAGATGATGAAGGTTTTATTGAAGTCTCATACAAAAGACAAATAGGGAGAACTAGGAATAGTTCATTACAATACGTAGAACCATACAATAGAGATAGAAAAAAAGGAAAGTATGTTCCAAAAAAGGTGTGAAATGGTGCACACATCACAATACTAACTATATCAAGCTAATGACCAAATATAACAATATAAGGATAGCAACCCTTAATGTTAAAGGGTTAAATAATCAGAAAAATGTCAAAAAACACTAACACTACTTAAGACTTATAGATTAGACTTAATTATGTTGCAAGAGACAAACCTGAATGATACACGAATGTGAGAATTTCTTAAAGATCTTTGGATATATGACTCTATTTGGATCGCAAAAACAGTGCTTTTGGCTGGAAATTACGAAATTATATTCAAAGAAACAAAGGAGTTATTCAAAGAAAGGATAAGCACAATTCATTTTTAAACAATGCCAGTTTCAGGTACAAACATATACGCCCCCCTACAATAGAAAAAAAAGCAAGCTTTTTTAATACGTAGAGCCCTACAAAAAAGAAAGGCGCTATAAATGTTTTTGCAAGTAACTTTAATACAAATATGAACCCGGATATCAATGGAATAAGTCAAGCTCCCTCACACGATGATCCTACTAGACAAAAACTTGAAGAATTAATAGAAGGGATGACAGATACAGCTATAGTAGCAGAACAGTTACCATTCCTCACTTTTTACCAAAAAACAAGAGGACAAAATTTGATAGTTACAAGACTCGACTATATATTTGTTGAGGACCAATATGCTCAGTGTTGAAAGAAGACAGTTACGAAATTTGGAATCTCGAATTATTTGATGGTTATAAGTGAGCTTTGCTTTGACAAAACTACTAGCTATAGAGCATACTGGCGATTAGAAACAAAAGTTTACAAATTGAGTGAGTGCGTAATGAGATCATTAATGAATTGAGTAATGCGCAAAGCTGAAGAATCTGGGACATTCACAAGAGCAAAATACAGTTATTAATAATAAGAATGATTGAAATATCTAAAGCGCTGGAATGTAGCATTAATAAGCTTAACAAAAAATTGCTAATCTAGAAAATAGGATCGCAAGCAACCGTAATCTAAGTGACCTGAAACTGGTGGTTAAAAAACTAAAAGATAATCTCCAGGATGAACTTACAGAACTTGTGAATAAGTGGCAGATTAGGTTCAAAGCTAATGGATTGAAAATGGTGAAAAGTCAACCGAATATTTCTTTAATCAATACAAAATAAGGCACTTGACGTCTGTTACCAAGAAGATTAAAATCCTGAAACAACCCTCCCAATCTGACCTCAAAGAAATTCTACATTATATCAAGAAGTATTATGAAAAAATATACCAACCTGATACGATAAATAATGATGAAGTCCTAAAACTTACTGAGGACCTTCCAATTGTCACGTTACTGGATAATAAAAACCTTATTAAACCCATCTCTAGGGAGGAAATCGTGCAAGTAATTAGGAATCTTCCAAAAAACAAGACCCCAGGTTCTGACAGAATTACGTATGAATTTTATAAAGAGCTTGAAGAAGAAAGTAGTGTTACTGTGGAGAAAATTTTTAATAATGTCCTGGTGCAAAAATATAATTACACTAATTCTAAAAAAATCAACAAAACTTGAAGAAATAAATAACTGAAGGCCGATCTCGTTAACAAATAGCGATATCAAGATTTTAATGAAGATTATAGCCAAAAGGCTTAATAAAATCTGTCAAAAATTAATAGGTATGCACCAACAAGCATTTGTTAAAGGTAGATCAATTATGGATACCGCTCTGGATATTATAACAACAATGAGGCACAAAAGACAATCTACTCAGCAATATTGAATGCTGTTTCTTGACTAAGAAAAAGCGTTTAATAGAATTAATCACCAATATCTTCAAAAAGTATTGGAGAGAATGAACTTTAATCTCACCTTCGTACAACTAGTTAAAACTTTATTCT